AACATCTGGAGATCAAGTAGCCAATTTAAAGAGATCCCCACTAGCCAAGATAGGACAATGTGAGTACCAAGAAGAAAACAAACATTGGTTAGTTGAAATATATTGTTGGTACAAAGCCCTGTGTCCATTAAGAAGCTCAGAGAAGGCAAACGCGAGAAAGCTGAGAAAGGCACTGTCAGCCTGAAAAGGTAAACTAGTCAAAGTATGTGAAACAAGGAGTTTACCTGAGCATATGTGTGAGGACTGCACCTGGCATGCAACCTGGATGAACACACTCAGGTTGCCCAGGATGTGCTCGCCAAGGTCTTATATTCCTCAGGCAGGTTTTAAAGGCAAAGCCACAAGTAGGTGAGATAATTGTTTAAGGATTAATAACAAGGGTGAACTGATGCTATATTTTGTTATTGGCATGATGGTTGATGTCACTTGTACTAGTAGGACAGGTAGCATCAGGGCAGGTGTCCTCACAGAGGTAGTCCTTTGGGTCAGACTGCAGTGGTCTTTGTGCAAGGCTATAATTCTGACAGAGTCCTTGTGATGGTTGTTATCAGTGTGAGAAAAAGACTTCCTTCATGCCCTTCCCTGGCTTGGTTCAGTCAGGGCTGGCACAAAAGATTCTATTTTGATTGTGACCAACTTTTCCTGTAATAAAGAATTTGGAATGTTTGCACTGCAACATTTTTCTGCTACAGAAAAAAAGAATTGGTTATTACAGGTTCCTAAACTAACAAGCATAGTATCTATGAACCAACCTAAAGGCCTAGAAATTAGATTAAAAGACTTGGAGCCAAGTTACGTGACAGAACATAGCCATAAATCTCAGGTAGAGGAAAACTCAGCGACACTTCATGTGAAGGAGAGTCATCAGGTTGCAAGACTCTGAAGTTTGGTGTTTGGCTGAGATCTTATTTCCCTTATTGTACTTGGCTCCAAAAAGATTGAGCACTCAGTGTTAGAAGTAGCTGGGATGGGCAATGAGTATGGACTGGCAGCCTCACTCTCTTGTTTTTGAGTAGAGGAGATTGTTTTTTGTTTGTTTTGTTTTTGCTGTTGAGGTCATGAGCTCACCAGAGAGAGAGAGAGAGAGAGAGAGAGAGAGAGAGAGAGAGAGAAAATGAGAAATAACCCCCTCCAGGGGGGATGGCTATACCTCAATACCTTCTCCTCCAGTCTCCTCTCACAATTTTGGGCATGCCTGCCATGCCCCTGGTGTGACTTTCAAGCTGCTGGGTCTGGGAACTGAATTGTGATTTGGCCATGTGGGAGTCCCGCTGCCTTAACCACCATGCCACCAGCTGGCCCAAACTTGTACTTTAATTTGATTTTTTACTAATTTTTTTTTTGGAGTCTCCTCCTATAAGGGAACACCACCGCTATAGATGTAGAGGCGTGCTAGTGAAGCCTGGGTTAATTCATCACTGGGATCTTTGGTCCTTTGGTTGGGTAGCCTCTACCCCTCCTGTCCACTCTGAAAATACGCACCTTTCCTTCCCCTTTTCCTTGTTCTGAGGGCTCCCGCCCTCTGTGCAGGTGAGTCATCATGACTTTCTCAGCATGCATGACTTCTCGGACCTGGAAATACTGATTTGGTAACATAGTTTTGCAGGACGATAGAGAGGCCAGGCCCCACTTCCCAGGCACTCTCTCTGTCTGCAGCTTCCCTGACTGTGCCCTTTGCCTCTTGTCCTCTGACCTTGATAGGAGGCCAGAGCATTGAGCAGTGGTCGGAGGCAGAGCCTTGTCTCTGAGGTAGCTATGGTCTCCTTAGCTTGAGATGATCCCTTCACATCTGTGAACTTCACATTCCCAGTTGTAAAATGGGTCTCTCTCTCTCTCTTTTTTTGGGGGAGAGGTTTTTGCTATCGGGCATGCGTGTTCGCCAAAAAGACAGAGATAGATAGAGAGACAGAAAGCAAGAAATCACCCCCCCCCAGGGGGGATGGCCACACAGCAATCCCTTCTTCTCCATTCTCCTCTGAGGATCTTGGGCATGCAAGTACACACACACGGCGTGAGTTTAAGCCATTAGGTCTGGGACTCAAACCATGGTTGACTACATGGGAGTCCGGCGACATAGCCATTATGCTAACTGCTGGTCTCATAAAATGGGTGTCTCTAAAGTCCTACTGTGCTTTACCATTTCATAATTCTATGGTTCCTACCAGCCTTAAACTCCGTCTGTCCTTCCCCGCACCCTGCTGCCCAGAAGTATTCCTATTGCTGACCGTGCCACACAACTAGGGCTGCCCAATGTCCTGTACACCAGGATTTAAACAGAACTCCAAGCTCTGAGCCTGTACCTTTAGGTGGATGCAGGCAGCAGAAGATCCTTGAGACCTGCCCTGATTTTAGGCTTTGCCACACGTTGCCTAGAAGAACTGAGGGTCCAAAGGAGCTGGCTGTAAGGCTCTCCTGCATACACCTCACTCCTGGCAGGCTTGGCTTTTATTTTAAGGCCTTAGGTTACCCTACAATGGGGTCCTCTCTCACACGTCACGAGAACATTTGTCTTTTTCTGATGTAACTTTGCAAGCGAATTTATCACTTTATCACTTTGAAAGATTTTTACATTATAAGAGCCCTTTAAAAGTTCTTGGAGTTAAAGGATGAGATTAATTTGGAGTAAAAAAAAGTTGAAATTTATGCATAGTTTTTGCTTATAATACATTTTCCATGAATTTTTGATGACCCCCCCTCCCCTCCGAATGAAACGACACATATAAGCCCATATAACGCATGAGATTATAGACATGGAAACATGCCAGTAGACCTTCTGTAGTCCCGCTCCCAGGAAGTGCATGCCTTTTCTGGCTTTTCTGGCTCTGGGGCAAGTGTGCTGATAGGATTTGCTACCAAACTGGACCATACTATTAGGTCTTTGGGAAAATCATGATGCATTAACATGTCATGATTCTCCCAACAACCCAATAAAATAAATGTATAGTTTTTCACCTAATGATACAAATGCAAAATAATTTTGAGAGCCCCATAGATACTCAGAGTCACGTGTGTGTGTGTGTGTGTATTTGCTCTCTGAAGCAAAGCATCCATGGTAACTTCATGAGGAGAGTGAACATAAGTAGACGTGTGTGTTTGGGTTTATGTGATACTGATTTAGAACTTGTCGTCCCAGGCTCGCCATCATGGATTCTCTATCAAAAGCCAATGGCACCTTTGCCGTAAATCTTTTAAAAGTGCTGTGTGAAGACAACTCAAGGAATGTGTTTTTCTCGCCTGTGAGCCTGTCCTCCTGCCTGGCCATGGTTCTCATGGGAGCCCAGGGAAACACCGCAGCCCAGATGACTAAGGTATGGAACACCGTCGAAAGACAGCAGTAAATGTTGGACATTGCTGATCGTAGCGGGTCCCTCATATTTCAGATCCCAAAGGGATTGTTCTCTGCACAGAGTTTTGCCGGCATCGTAGGGGTGTAGATGTAGCTACAGGCAAGAATACGGTGCTGTAGGGGAGTGGATGGAGAGTTACAGGGAAGATATGTTACTGCTGCCTGAGCACCTTGGGAGGATCCCCCTGCTCTGTTGGGGAAGGAGGGTGGCACTGCATTCCAAGGACTGGGTAGTTCACTGTGTGGCTTAGCTGTCCATGAGTAGCTGTGAAGTCACGTGGTTCAGATGCAGTCTTGTGCTGTCCTTTGGATGTTATCAGCTGTTTTTCCATGCTTAGAAATTTTCTTATTTAACTGAGGACCTCGGAAGAATGGTATTTGTCCGTCAAAAATGAAGTAGTATTTCACTTATTTGTTGAGGAGTAGCCACACCCCAATAGTTAGCAACAGGGTGACAATTTCCTGTTTGCTGATTTCGGTGGATCTGGTGGTGCATCTGCCCACTGAGTGCCGGAGGGTCCCTTGTGTCAGAGGCTCAGCCAGGGTGCCTCTCACCTCTTCTCTGTGGCCTTTTTGGCTCGAGCTTCCCACACACGCCTCTTTGGCAGAGCAGCCCAGGGTCCCTGACACACGGCGTGAGTTTAAGCCATTAGGTCTGGGACTCAAACCATGGTTGACTACATGGGAGTCCGGCGACATAGCCATTATGCTAACTGCTGGTCTCATAAAATGGGTGTCTCTAAAGTCCTACTGTGCTTTACCATTTCATAATTCTATGGTTCCTACCAGCCTTAAACTCCGTCTGTCCTTCCCCGCACCCTGCTGCCCAGAAGTATTCCTATTGCTGACCGTGCCACACAACTAGGGCTGCCCAATGTCCTGTACACCAGGATTTAAACAGAACTCCAAGCTCTGAGCCTGTACCTTTAGGTGGATGCAGGCAGCAGAAGATCCTTGAGACCTGCCCTGATTTTAGGCTTTGCCACACGTTGCCTAGAAGAACTGAGGGTCCAAAGGAGCTGGCTGTAAGGCTCTCCTGCATACACCTCACTCCTGGCAGGCTTGGCTTTTATTTTAAGGCCTTAGGTTACCCTACAATGGGGTCCTCTCTCACACGTCACGAGAACATTTGTCTTTTTCTGATGTAACTTTGCAAGCGAATTTATCACTTTATCACTTTGAAAGATTTTTACATTATAAGAGCCCTTTAAAAGTTCTTGGAGTTAAAGGATGAGATTAATTTGGAGTAAAAAAAAGTTGAAATTTATGCATAGTTTTTGCTTATAATACATTTTCCATGAATTTTTGATGACCCCCCCTCCCCTCCGAATGAAACGACACATATAAGCCCATATAACGCATGAGATTATAGACATGGAAACATGCCAGTAGACCTTCTGTAGTCCCGCTCCCAGGAAGTGCATGCCTTTTCTGGCTTTTCTGGCTCTGGGGCAAGTGTGCTGATAGGATTTGCTACCAAACTGGACCATACTATTAGGTCTTTGGGAAAATCATGATGCATTAACATGTCATGATTCTCCCAACAACCCAATAAAATAAATGTATAGTTTTTCACCTAATGATACAAATGCAAAATAATTTTGAGAGCCCCATAGATACTCAGAGTCACGTGTGTGTGTGTGTGTGTATTTGCTCTCTGAAGCAAAGCATCCATGGTAACTTCATGAGGAGAGTGAACATAAGTAGACGTGTGTGTTTGGGTTTATGTGATACTGATTTAGAACTTGTCGTCCCAGGCTCGCCATCATGGATTCTCTATCAAAAGCCAATGGCACCTTTGCCGTAAATCTTTTAAAAGTGCTGTGTGAAGACAACTCAAGGAATGTGTTTTTCTCGCCTGTGAGCCTGTCCTCCTGCCTGGCCATGGTTCTCATGGGAGCCCAGGGAAACACCGCAGCCCAGATGACTAAGGTATGGAACACCGTCGAAAGACAGCAGTAAATGTTGGACATTGCTGATCGTAGCGGGTCCCTCATATTTCAGATCCCAAAGGGATTGTTCTCTGCACAGAGTTTTGCCGGCATCGTAGGGGTGTAGATGTAGCTACAGGCAAGAATACGGTGCTGTAGGGGAGTGGATGGAGAGTTACAGGGAAGATATGTTACTGCTGCCTGAGCACCTTGGGAGGATCCCCCTGCTCTGTTGGGGAAGGAGGGTGGCACTGCATTCCAAGGACTGGGTAGTTCACTGTGTGGCTTAGCTGTCCATGAGTAGCTGTGAAGTCACGTGGTTCAGATGCAGTCTTGTGCTGTCCTTTGGATGTTATCAGCTGTTTTTCCATGCTTAGAAATTTTCTTATTTAACTGAGGACCTCGGAAGAATGGTATTTGTCCGTCAAAAATGAAGTAGTATTTCACTTATTTGTTGAGGAGTAGCCACACCCCAATAGTTAGCAACAGGGTGACAATTTCCTGTTTGCTGATTTCGGTGGATCTGGTGGTGCATCTGCCCACTGAGTGCCGGAGGGTCCCTTGTGTCAGAGGCTCAGCCAGGGTGCCTCTCACCTCTTCTCTGTGGCCTTTTTGGCTCGAGCTTCCCACACACGCCTCTTTGGCAGAGCAGCCCAGGGTCCCTGAGGCTCAATAGCTGAGTTCCAGGAGGAGCGGCCCAGGAGGGCAGGTTGGAGTGCAGGTGCTCAAGTCTCTGCCTGTGTCCTGCTTACTAAGGCCCCACTGGCTAGAGCCCGAGAGGGACTGAGCAAAGGCATGGACCCTGAAGGCATGGCTCACCAGGGCCACCCATGACTGCTGTCATCTGCCGAGGCCCCCTTCCCTTCCCAGAACCCCAAACTCTCATTGTGGGGTCAGGCTCATGCTAGAAGTCCAGGAGTAACAGGAGTGAACCAGGAACTGAGGCTCTTCTGATGTAGCTCCTCAGGTATTGTTCCCTGGAAAGCAGGATTTGTAAACTAAAGAGTCAAATTATCTGCACACCCGCTACTCCACTTTCTCTTCTCGAGCATACAGCAGTGAGACAGGGAGGGATAACTGCAGCGGATACTTTCTTTTAAAACATTGTAGCAATGGGACTAGCAATTGGCTCAATGGCTATGTTGCTGGACTCCCATGTAGTTAAACATGGTTCAAGTCCTAGACCTGGTGGCTTAGACTCATGCTGGGCACGTGTGTGTGCGTGCCCAAGATTTTAAGAGGAGAATGGAGAAGGGATTCCAGTGTGGCCATCCTCCCTGGGGGATGATTTCTCGCTTTCTGTTTCTCTGTCTTTCTGGCAAGCACACATGCCCTATAGCAAAAACCTCTCCAAAAAAAGACCCTAAAAACTAAAAACATAGTGGCAGTGTATTAGTTTGCTAGGACTCTGCTGTAGCAGAACCTACATGGAGCAGTTTAAAATAAAGGCATTTATTTCTCACAGTTCTGAAGACTGGAAGTCTGAGATTAAGGTGTGTCCAGGGCCAGTTTCTCCTGAAGTCCCTCTCCTTAGCTTATAAATGGCCATCATCTCCCTTTGTCCTCTGTGTTGTCCCTCTGTGTGTGTCAGTCTTAATTTCTTCCTAAAAGGACACGAGTCATATTGGATTAGGGCCCATCCTGAAGACTGTACTTTAACTTGATCACCCTCTGAGGATCCTATCTTCGATTACGGTTATATTCAGAGATGTTGGGAGTCGGGACTGTAGATTTGGGGTGGGGGACAAAACTCAGTCCATGGGAGGAGGTGTGTGTGGGGAGGGGCACGCTGCAGCTCCTGAACAACAGCAGTTCCCAAATCCGGCCAGGGGTGTGTAAGTAGCACCGATCCAGCAGCAGGAAAGAGTCTGCACCTTCTGGGGTCAGGAGCCACCTGCACAGGCAGGGCTGGGAGGACCAACTGGCAGCCGTGTTTGCAGCCACAGTGCAAGTAGTAAGCATGAAGTGCTTGGGTCCATGCTGGGGCATTTCTGCTTGAACTTGTAACAAGAAGAACAGAGACTTGGAGGGAGCTTTCAAGACCTTCCGCCTTTCATCAGGTGGATCTTCTAAGCTGTAGCGGGGATCTGCACACTTGTTAGGCTGAGTTTGGTGGTGTACCCATTTCCTGAAGTCGTAGCACACTGAAGTTGTGTATTTTTATTCTGTTTTTCATTTTAGGCGCTTTCTTTTAATGAAAGTGACAATGGAGGTGTAGACATCCACCAGGGCTTCCAGCAGCTTCTCAGTGCATTGAACAAGCCTGACGCGCAGTACTTGCTGAGGACGGCCAACAGGCTCTTCGGGGAAAAGTCTTACGAGTTCCTCTCTGTAAGTCTCACTTGCTGGTTTTCATTAAGGACATCAAGGTAGGAGGTGGGAGGCGGGCTCGTGCGCTCCAGCGGAGTGGGGCTGCCAGTGTCCTTGCTCCGTATGTGCTCTCGGTAATTTGCCCCTTGTCACCTAGCAGTATGTCTTAAATTCTTTTCATCTCTGTGTAGGTGGGTCTGTCTCACTTTTAAAAGTCTCTTTTTCTCTTTTTCATAGGAGAGAGAGACAGACAGGCAACCCTAACAGGGTCTTCATGCCATGGTCTACCCCCAGTTCCATTTTGCCATCTGCTGACCCCTCATTGCATTTGTAAAGTTTCTATCTTTATTTCTCCCAGAAGCAAGAGATAGAAAAAGAGAGATACAGACAGACAGACAGACTGAGAGCTGGTACCTCCAACAGGGTTTTGAAACCACAACCGTGCCCTGGCCTCAGCCAGCCCTGGGTCGTGGGCATACGCATGTCCAGCGTCCTCAGTGAGGTCTGTGGATACAAATGGAGAACCTTCCAATGCAGGTCAGATTTGCAGAGCAGCAGTTTTATCACCGGGCTCCTTTCTGACCCCTCATTTTTCTTGCTTTGGAAAAAAAGAAACATTCATTTTCTCCATTTAGTTTGTCCCCATTTTCTAAATTGCCCATGATGACTACATTTCTTTTTCTTTTTTAGTTTGATATAGGGCACGTGTGCTTGCCAGGAGAGAGTAAGAGAGAAAGAGAAAAAAAGACAAAACAAATACAGAGGGCAAGAGAAAGCACCCCTCAGGCAATATGGCCATGGCATAATCCCTTCTCTTCTATTCTCATTTGGAACTTTGGGCATGTATGCACATGTGCCTGGCATGATTTTCAAACTGCCAGGCCTGGGACTCACACCACAGAGTTGGCCATGCACGCGGTCCAGCCGCCTCAAACTCCTTGGCATGTGCTGGCCCCATTTCTTCCTGTTTTATGACATTTCCTTATATTTTTGAGTCAATCTTACTCTTCTCTTGTGATTTTTTTCTGATCATTTTCACAGCTGTTTCAGACTCTAAATGAATTTTTGAAACAAACTGTTGTGAAAGGAATGTAATCAAACATGAGGTCAAATATTAGTAAGATCTGTACTTGATCATTGTTTTATTTAGTTTTATCTGTCAGCTCTTCTTTAGATTATTGTCATCTTTTCCTAAGCCTCCTGTGTACAAAAAACAAAACTGCCAAGAAGCGAGGCCTGGCTGTTTATTTAAAACACTTATTTGTTTTCTTCTTCTTTTTTGGTGCATATTTTGAGGAAGGTATTGATATTTAAAATGTTTTGATGTTGGGAAATAAAGAGATTAGAAGTATTTGTTAATTATTTCTTATTACTTTAGTGTTCCAAGAAGCTAACATCAAGTGTAATGGATGCTTAGCTATTCCGTTAGCTTGGTGACTTATAAAATAATAACTTAAATGACAGACGGTTCTCTTTTAGTGTGTTTAAAGGCTGTAAAAAGTCATCCAAAGGTGCAAGTTGTGAGTAACTGGTTTGCTTCCACACTATTTTCCTAGACTGAAAGATTAAAAAAATTTCAAAAGCGTTGGTCAAGGGAACCAGCAGTTAGCGTAATGGCTATGTCGCTGGACTCCCACGTAGTCAACTGCGCGGTTCGTGTCCCCGACCCAGTGGCTTAAAACTCACGCCGGGCGCGTGTGCATGCGTGCCCAAGATCTCGAGAGGAGAATGGAGGAGAAGGGATTGCGGCGTGACCATCCCCCCTGGGGGGTGATTTCTCGCTTTCTGTCTCTATGTCTCTCTCTGTCTGTCTGGCAAGCGCACGCACCCTACGGTGAAAAATCTCTCCAAAAAAAAAAAAAAAAGCATTGGTCAACAAGCAGAGCAGTGAAATTGGCAAAGTGTGAGCTCTGCAAGGATGAAATGAAATGATACATAATGTGTACTCCGGGCAGTGCCTGCAGCATCCTGAGAATTCAGCCATGACACATAAATCAGTGACAATGCTAATTCATCCGGTCTTCAGCATGACCTCTGAGCGGTAGCTGCTGCTGTCTCCTTTACAAGCTACTGCCTGCAGGGATCCAGGGGTTTGGAAAACTTACTTGGTCTCCAGATCAGTGTTTTACTTAGTTAATAAGCTAAGATTAAATGTAGTTTAAAAAATGGAAAGGTCAGACTTAAGGTTATGTCTCCATTTTGTTTTTGTAAATTACATCTGTAAAATCATAGAGTTAAGTGGTTTTCTGATTTGGGACAATGAAGCAGGTAGCCGTTGGTATCATCTCTGTACTGTGCAGTTATGTTGCTTTGTCTGTTCCAGTCCTTTAAAGATTCCTG